GAGATCAGTACTTCAGCAGCATAATTTCCCAGAACTCACACGTCTGCTTGTATCCTTTCTGATATGTCCACCAGTGGCTAGCATGTTAATCAACAAGCCCTGTAGCTTGTTCAAGTTGGTACTCTGTTCTCAAAATCTCAGTCTTGACCAGGAGATGAGGAAAATTATAATTTGGTGATATAGTAATAGATCAAAAAAAAATTCCAGCTATATTAGAAGTGAAAACATAAATCAGTCTTTTAAGATACACAGTGGTAAATAAGTTTGTTGTCAAACATCGTAATTTTTGTGGGTGATTTTAAGTTCTCTGACAACTCTTTTAAGTCAAGGGATACTGTCTTGCATTGTATTTATGACATATGGAAAGTTTGAGAGACATAGTTTTATTAGTCATGCTAACAGATAATTAATAAAAGGAGTCAGTAGCACTCTCAAATGCCAAAGACCCCTCAGGGAACTCACTCAACACTTCTGTGCCCTTGGAAAAGTGGGTGTTCCTGAGAGTGGTAATCAACTCCGATTGGTTAACAATTATAAGAAGAACGACTATTATAATGAGAGGTGGATCCATTCTAATGAAGGGCCCGGGAGTGACTGATCTCTCTCACTCCCAGAGCACCTCTAGCCTCAGGCAGTATAGACAAAGTATCTACCTCTTCTCAGACCTGGCTGAGTGGAACCCGATATACCAGGTTCACCTTACATTAAATTCTTTGTAAGGGTCTTTAGTTGAGTGGGTAACAAAATTCTAAGATTTCATCTCATTATGTGCCCTATCCTTCAGAAAACTAAGCTTTGACCTAATCTCCAAATGAGAAAGGAAGAAAATTGTGGATCTCCTTAATATTTGGTTATTTAATCATCATTACTCTCATATTTAATATCATTTAACTGGTTTTTGATAGCCCTTGATGTGTTGTCCTACTCTTACCTCCCTCTTTCTCATCAGCAAGGCCACAGTAGAGATATGTCTTATTAAAAAAATGAGGAAAATATAATAAATTACTGCTTAGAATGAAACAATAGTGCAACTACTGCCATGCTCATTAGAAAAAGGCCCTGTCTTTTAAATTCAGGTTCAATTACTGCCCTCTCATGTTTGAATATTTTAGAGTTGGTCACATTTTAAATTTTTCACGATAATAACAAGTTAATCCTTTTTAGAAAATGTTTCTTTCTTGAAAGTACTCCAATCAGACATTTCCATGAAAATAGAATAGTTCGAGCACGTTCCAAACCAATGACTTTTTATGCTTTCTACAATTACTGTTCTCCAAGTAGGTGACAGATCTATATGTGTGAAGAACTCCCTCTGTCATTGCCAAGCCTATGCAAATCTATGACTTAATAGATCAAACTGAAGGACTTACCTGGAGCACATAAAATTAAGTAACTTGTCCAGTCCCATAGCTAGGATCAAAGGTGGAATTTTACCCTACCCTAAACATTAATGTCAGAACTGTATCCCCTACACCATGATACCATCTACTGATACCATCAATTATTATTAAATTTATGAAGGCACACACCTTGATTTCTATCAGCATATAGTAATTAACCTTTTAAAAATATTGTTTTAATTCTCTGGCTATTGTATAATATTCATACAGTCAAGTCAGCAATAAATTTAAATCTAAAATCATTATTTAATCATGACATGAACTGTCATTCATAACCCTCTGAGACTGTGTTTTAGTTTATGGTACCTGCCAAACTTTCCTGATTCAATTACAAGCAAGAGATGATGTTTTTCTTCTAAGCTGTTAAAATTGAAATACCTTCTCATTATATCCTCTTGCCATCTATATTTTTGTTTCTTTTCTAAAGAAACCTTATGAACATCTGAATGTTAACATAAATTCCTCAAATTTTTAAGTCATAGTGGTAGCTTCTAACAGCTCAGGCTCTCATTTTAAATTAAAGAAGCAATTAATTGAATTCTGATGGTTAGTTATAATTGATCTATTTCCTGGTATAGGTATACTATAAAATTGAGAACTGTATATAGAATAGGATCATCACAACTACCAGCATCTCAGATGCCATTGATGAAAAAAAAAGTTGGCGATGTACCTCCCCCAATATAATTAGATATCATAAAACTCAAGAATTGATTATAGTAATTAGATGTCACAGGTTGCTAGATGGTACAGTGGATAGAGTGCTGGGCATGGAGTAGGAAGAGCTGAGTTCAAATATGGCCTCAGATATTTAATAGTTACGTGATGTTGGGCAATTCACTTACTGTCTCAGTTTTCTCATCTGTAAAATGGGGATTATAATAGAACCTACCTCCCAGGGTTGTAGTGAGGATCAAGTGAAATAATATTTGTAAAGCATATGGTACAGTTCCTGGCAGATAGCAGGTGCTTAACAAATATTTGTTTTAACACTCATACTCCTCAGTGTGATAGTTTCTCACCCGCTTTGTAAGCCAGATTCCTTGTAATTTCAGATTCTTCTTTTCATAAACTCCATCTTGATAGGCAATATAGTACAGAAGGAAGAGTACTTGGTTTGTAGTTAGATGATATGAATTCACATGTCATGTCTTACTACCACTTACTATCTTGGTGACCCTTGGGCAAGCCATTTAATTTCTGTAGACCACAGTTCCTCATTCTTACAATGAAGCAATTGGACTAGATGACCTCTAAAAATTGGAAAAAACCAAACCAATTCTTTCATGACTCTCTAAAACAATTGACTATATTTTCTTTCATAAAAGTCTTTTGAATGAAAAAAAAACCACCAGAACAAATACATGCAATATTCCAAACCCATGGACTTCTATCTTTGCAAAAGTGGAGGAGGAGGTGTCTTCGCATTTCTCTTCTTTGGGGGCAAACTTGGTCACTATATTTTTGGAATATTCATGTTAGATTGTGTTGTGGTTGGTGTTCTTTCCTTTGTATTGCTACTGTCATTAAATTTAATTTTCCTGGCTCTGCTTCCTTCGATTTGCACTAGTTCACACATCTGTCTTTTTATCATGTTTGTCTTTCCTTAGAGCACGGTAATATTTCATTACATTCATCTACTACAATTTTCTAGTCATCTGTCAACTGATAATCATCTACTTTGTTTCCAGTTATTCACTACCTCAAAAAGTGCCTCTATAAACATTTGTTACATGTTGGAACCTTTCTTTTTGTCAACGACCTCCTTAGAAAATATGCCTAGCAGTAATATTTCTGGGGTAAAGCATTTGAACATTTTAATCACCTTATTTGCATAATAACCAATTGTTTTCTAGTGATTGTACCAATTCAAAGCTTGGTCAACAATGCATCAGTGTGCTTGTCTTTTCACAATGTATATACTTTTTCATCACCTGTCAATCATGGTCAGGCACAGTTGAAAAACTTCATGCTAAAGTTCTCTACAGACTGGCAATAATCAATTCATTCCCAAACTACCTTTCCAACCTCATCTATCACTCCATGAACCCTCTTTCCCACCAGCCTGTTCTTTAGATAGTCTCTTGCTAGCCCTCTGTTGAAACTTTCTGCTTAGTAGACCAGGCTTTTTTCTTCTTCTGCTACTGAACCTTTTGTTCAGATGTTTCCATCACAAGGAATGGCATAATTTATGACTCCCCTCTTTTCCCCCAACCTATTTTCTATTTCAAGATACAGATAAATCCCTACCTCCTCTGTTGTCTTACTGACCACTACAATTTTACCTTTCTCTAGGCATTTTCCCTAAAGAAAGTCCAACACTATTCACTGCTTCTCTTTGCCTCATGAATGAGTTTAGGAAGACTCAAGTTCAAATCGTGACTCCTCAACCTCCCTACCCCACTCCCATCAGTTTTAGGTTCCTCAAATGAGAAATGGTAATAAAAATAGTGGATAGAACAGCTTCACTAGGAGTCAGAAAGACCTGAGTTCAAATTCACCTTTAAACACTTACTAGCTGTTTAACCCTGGACAAATCACTTAACCTGTTTGCCTCAGTTTCCTCATCTGTAAAATGGGAATGATAATAATCCTCACCTACACCTGTGAGGATCAAATGAGATAAAAATTGTAATGTACGGAGCACACAGTAAGCGCTTATAAATGTTAGCTATTATTATTATTATATTGCTTTCAAACCATAGTTCTATAAATGTTAGCTATTACAATGAATAATAATCTCTGAGCCTCAATTTTCTCTGTAAAATGGGTTTGTGAACCCCAAACCCCAGTTTGAAACAGAAAGAAGCAAATGAAATTGGGCTGTGTGTGTCCACAGTTTAATTTCTCAAAGTGGCTTGACCTGCATTGCATTGGAGTTCAGTACAAAACTGGGCCCCCCTAAGGGGACCAGTTCAGAACTTGCTTTGTTTGGGATTTGGGGGTATAGCATTATATGCCCTTCAAAGAGTAGGTATTCGAAAGAGGGTGCCAATCAACCATGACTGGTCGACATACTAAGAGATGGATGGGTTCCTTAGATCACTCAGGCAGTTATCACCGGCTATCAAAGAAAATACCACCCCTAGCCTTGGAAGCCCGTCTCCGCCCAAACCTGAGTAGGATAAAATCAATTCCAGCCTGGGTAGGAGATAAGAAGACTCAATGCAATTTCTTTATCAGAGATGACCTTCTGAACAACTTTGGGCAGAAGGTTGGCCAGGGGCAGCTCTGAGTCTCCAGGATACAGATTACCAAGATAAATCCCTTTAAAAGGTTACACGGCATTTTTTTGTAGGGATCAAATGGGATAACATGTAAAGTGCTTAGCAAGTCTTAAAGTGTTACAAAATCATTATACATGCAAACAGCCCCAAAGAGATAAAATGTCTTGCTCAACGTTACACAGATGGAATAGCAGGGTTGAGCCTAGAGCCCCAATCTTTTGATTTCCAGCTCGCGGGCCCCAACTGGGAGCACGGGTTTGGAGCCTCCTTTCGCCAGACTATAGCAGCTGACCAAACAAAACCGACCTCGGCCAGGAGCCCCGCCTGATTGGCTGCTTCCATCCTCATTCCTGGAGGCTAAGGAGTGGCGCATGCGCAGGGCATTCCGCGGCGCGGCACTCCGCTCCTCAGTTCCTTCTTGCTGCTCGCTACTCTCTCCATCCGGGTCTTAAGGCTTCTGGCTCCAGCTCTTTCCGGGCTCGCTAGTCGATCTCTTCTCCGCCGTCTTCCAGTGACAGCCGAGCTCCGCCGCGGGGTCCCCAGGGGCCGGTTCCGGCGGTGAGTCCTGTGGGGCTGAGGCGGAGTGGGCTTCAGGACGTCGTGGGGGGTGACTGGGTCCTCCCAAGCCGGGCCTCAGTTTCTTGGGGAGGAGATGGATCCCGGCGCCTTCGCCCTCTACCCCTCAGGCTTCGAGCCTCGCTCTCCTCTCCCCACTCGGGCTGGTGGGGCTTGTGTGGCGGAAGCCGAGAAAGCGTTAGACTCGAAGTTGGGAGACCGGGGTTCGAAGTCGAACCCCGACCCTTCTGTGTCCCTTGTGGGCGGCTTCCTCCTCCCCTCCTCTCCCCCTGGAACTGCACTCAATCAGCGAACTTTTATTAAATACCTACTAGGTGCCCGACACCGTGCGAGGCCCTGGGGATGTTGGGGAACGGGGAGACAATTAGCCCCTGCCCTCGGGGGGCTTCCATTCTTATTTAAAATGGTGGCGTGCGTTGCGCAAATGTAAGTTCTTGTAGTCCTGGTTAGGGGTCCCACGGGCCGGGCCAAAGTTCTCCTGCCCCCAGGGAGGAGGAACACGTGCCTCAGCTCCAGTTTTGAAGACCAGACCCAACGGGGGGGGGGGGAAATGCTCTTACTGTTAATGGTTCTTGGGTTGTAGTCCTCAGCTGTGCTGCTAATAAACTTGTGTGAGCTTGAGGGCTTCACTTAGTTTTTTTCATCAGCAAAATGACAGAGATGAATTACATGACAGTCTTTCCAAAGTCTTTTGTGGCTCATTAGCTAAGGATGATCTGAGGGTAGGGAAAAGGTTTGTGATCCCAGGGGGATGCACCTGGTAGGAAAGCAGATGATGTTGGGAGTGGGGAAGAATGAATTGTGGATTTGAATTTAATGTTCAGCAGACAGAATACCTTAAAGTGTGTCCTCAAGAGACTTTCTTGCACCAGTATACTATATAATTGTCCTTTTTATCATTAGTACAATTATATTCCTTTAATATGATCCTAATAGATGCAGATTATTCTTGGACTCACCACTGTCCAAATGTTTCTAATTTTGTTGTCAGGTAGCCTTTTGCTACCAAGGTGGAGGTGAATTTTGAGAGAGACCATGCTGATCCTTGTAACTGACCTTGTGATTTATTGTGTTATCATTGTTATACCCTAAATATTTGAGTTATAACACCAGAGCCTGTTCCTGTTGAATGTAAATTAGCAGTATATCTTCTAGTTGTTGTTTTTTTTAAATCAGATTGACTTTACATATTTAGCCATTTTAAAAATCATCTGATATGTTCAGTATTCCAAACCAGGGAAGAGTATGCATTACTGTATCTAAAGCAGGAAGAATATTTGCCTCTTCCTTTTATAAAGAGTGATCTGAAAAAGCATTTTTTAGAAAATAAGTACCTTTTAATCATTGCCTTGATCAAATCTTAAAACCTGATTTGTTAATATGCTTTGGTGTATTTGATTTTCTCTTTTAGGGAGAAAGTCTATTGTAACCTCTATATTTAAGATATTTGAATTGAGTTAATTTGAATAACTATAATAATCACACCTTTTTAAAGTAACATTCTCTCTTGAATCATTAACATAATTTATATTTGCATTTGCAAACTACTTTAAAGTACTGTACAATGGAATTTTTCCAGGTTTGAAGTATTTGTCCTAGGAGCTGTGTATCACCAGAATGAGACTTGTAATTCTTGATAATTATGACTTGGCTAGTGAATGGGCAGCCAAATACATCTGTAATCGAATTATCCAGTTCAAACCAGGACAAGACAGATATTTTACCCTGGGCTTGCCAACAGGTAATAAGCTAATTTTTCTAGATTAAAAAGTATAGATTTGTGAAAATGTTAGTATTTTGTTCTCCTTGCTCTATTTTTTATGCAGTTATCACATGATCACTACCTGTACTGGAATAGAATGAAAAAAAAACCATTCCTGAGATACAAAAATCTAAATGAAGAAATGAGTGAGTGCATTGCTCTTAAGAGTACTTTGCTCTTAAGACATTTCTGTCTTGGCTACTCATTTACTTTCATAAGAGTTTTTGGTGTCATTTTCTTTTTGTTTGGCTTTGGGGGAGGGGGAAGGTTTGTTATTCCTATCATTTCTCCCACTTCTTCCAGTTTGGGCTTCAGGAGGTTAAACTCTGATTAATAAGAAGTGGTGAAAGAATTTGAGCAGCTGGGTGGTTCAGTGGACAGAGTGCCTGGCCTGAAGTTAGGAAGACTTGGGATACTTTATTGCCATGTGACTGGACAAGTTACTTAACACTGTTTGCCTCAGTTTCCTCATCTGTAAAATGAGCTGGAGAAGGAAATGACAAACTACTCCAGTATCTTTGCCAAGAAAACCTCAACTGTGGTCAGGAAGTGTTGGACACTGCTGAACCGCGTCAGTGTGAAAGAATTAAGGTAGCAAGGCATTCTGGATAGAGTATGACTTGGAGTACACAGTGATTTACAATCCTACTTCTAACATTTTCAAGTTGTTTGGCCACTAGAAAGTCATTTAATAACAATACTACTGAGATTTAGAATTCAAGGAACCTTAGATGTCTTCTAGTTCAGTTCCTTCATTTTGCAGACAAAGTGACTGAAGCCCCAAAAGATTATCTGCCCAAGTAGTAAGTGGAAAGCTGAGATTGGAATATTAGCCTTTTGTCCCCAAATTCAGCTCTCTTTCCACTCTGACATTTATAAAGTGCTTTAAGGTTTGCAAATCACTTTACATACATTATTTCATTTTATCTTCATTAATAGCCCTATGAAATAGATGCTGTTATTATCCTTTTATTATTTAACTTCTCAACCTTAGCTCTGTAAACTGGAGATAACACCTATAGAACCTACCTCACAGAATTGTCATATTAGATAATGTATGTAAAATGGTAATGCAAACTTGAGAGTGCTATATAAGTGACAGTTACTACTTCTTATATTTTCTTTTAGTCATTTTCACTTTCTATACTTCTTTTTTCCTCCCTTTTCTTAAAATGTTACAAGATAATGATGACAATTACCTTATACCAAAGGACTTTTTCAGGACAGAACCTTAACTAATTCAGCCTAATCATATTATTGAAACACTGAGGAACATTAGGGTAAGATCTCTAGTGGGCAGAAATACACATTCTATCTGTGTTCTTGATGGAGTGACTATTGGGTAGAAACATGCAAAATGGTTAAGGCATTTAAATTTCTTTCTTCTTAATTTACCATAAAGTGTTTTGATTGGCTTTCTGTCTTAGGCCACTAGATTGGGAAATGTTAACAAGAAAGTGAGTTTTCCTACATCTTTGGTAATCATTTCCCTTTTTTTACTTCCCCTAGATCTCCATCTTTAATTAAGAGCTAAGTTGCTAAAGATGACCTTTCTGCATTATCCTGGAAACATTTCTCAGCTTGGGAACTTCATAAATAAAAACCTATCTAGGACTTATTTAAGTCCGGGGAGTTCCCTGAGGCACATATGGGTTAAGTGATTTGTCCAGGGTCACACAACTAGTAAATATCAGACTCAAAATTTAAACTTAGGTCTTCCTGACTCTAAGCCTAGCAAACTCATAAAATAAGGAGAGGGGGGAAAAAAAGACAATTGAATATGTTGTCTATTGCGAAAGGGAAAATGGAATAAATTGCCTAATCTGATGTCTGATAGTTCGTTTTTTAAGCCGTAATTCACACTTACTATGTGTCACCTGAACTCCTTGAGTTGGAAGAGACAGATTCTATAATTATGCATCCTTAAGTTAAGCCACAGATTCTGGGGTGGGTGGGGGAGGAGGAGAGGGGCGATAGAATCAATTTTGGCAGTTTGTATTTTTAAGTTTTGGGGCAACTAGGTGGTACAGAGTGCTGGGCCTGGAGTCAGGAAGACATATCTTCCCAAGTTCAAATCAGGTGTCACACACTTACTAGCAGTATGATCCTGGGCAAGTCATTTTACCCTGTTTGCCTTAGTTACTTCATCTGTAAAATGAGCTAGAAAAGGAAATGACAAACCACTCCAGTCATTTTGCCAAGAAAATCCCCAATGGGGTCATGAAGAATTAATTAGAACACTATTGAAGTGAATGAAAAACATTTTGAAGTTTATTTTATTGTGTTTTTTAAAGCCATTTAAAGTTGCAATTTGGTTCAGCACTAAATATGTATCAGACATTAAGAAAGCCTACTATTTTCCTTTTCTCCTTATCTTGACCTTTCTGCTTTTCTTCAGTATTTTCATAGGACTTAATTATAACCACCAAATTGATGGTTCACTGACCATGAAGATAACAACTCATTTCTAGATAGTGCTTTAAGGGGGACAAAGTACTTTCCTTATAACAAAGCAGAGAAGTAGGTAGTATCAACATCCATATTTCATGGATGAGAAAACTGAGATACAAAGAAGCTTTTCTCAGGGTCACACAAATGGAGTGTATGTGTGTGAGCTAGAAATTGAAATCAAGTCACTTGACTCCAGGCACAGTGTTATCATTTAGCTCCTCTCTCTTAAGGTCTTCCCAAACTGTGAAATAGCTTTGAATTTCTTCTATCCCTTTTGCTATCCTCAGCATCTTGCCCTAATAGGACAAATTTTCTTTTCATCCTAGAACTGAAGTACAGGGGTTAGGATGGGGTTGATATCTTTTATGCTTCTTCTAAAAAACAAAATGTTTTTTCAGGAAGCACACCTTTGGGATGCTATAAAAAACTAATAGAATATCACAAGAATGGAGACCTTTCCTTCAAATATGTAAAGACCTTTAACATGGATGAATATGTAGGTAAGTGAGCTACATTTTTCAGTGATAAAAAAATTCCTAGAATTACACGTACTATTTTGTGAGTAGCTTGTTTTCTGTTATCAACGGATTGTACTTTGGAGTTCAGGTAAAAATCCATAATTTTATATTGTTATGCAGCATATATGTAGGTCTTGAATCTTCTGAGTTTTGTTAGGAGTATATAACCCCACCCCTTCAAATATACATGTTGCCCATGAGCTTAGGCTTCCTGGAATTTCTATTAAGAATTCCAGATATCGTTGGAATAATTTTCTTGGTGTATTGTTAAATTGTGTGGATGACATAGAGGTGGAAGGGGTAGCTAAATACATTGACTAACAGAATGTGACCCAAAACTACCATGTCATACTAGAAGGGTAGATTGAAGCTAGCTAACAATTATAGGGATAAATACAAAGTCCTATATTTGGCCTAAAAAATCAAGTTATAGTTACAGGATGGGAAATATGTGGCTAGAAAGTTCATGTTAAAGATTAGGAGTTTTAATGGAATGAAGTGAGTCAGAAGCGTGATGTGGTAGCCAAAAAAGCAAATGTGATTTTAGACTACGTTAATTGAAACATAATGTCCAAAGTAAGGGAAGAGATAGTTTTGCTTTTTTTAGCCTTCATCAGACCTCATTTAAGTATTCAGTTTTGAGTGCCCCATTTTAAAACAGCCATTAATAAGTGGGAATATGTATAGAGAAAGGTAACTGGTATGGATGGTTAAAGAAACCAAGGATCTTTAACTTGGAGAAACTTGGGTGACATCATCACAGTCTTTAAATAATTGAAGGGTTGTCATGTATAAGAGGTATTAGATTTGTTCTACTGGATCCTTGGAGGTAAAAATTATGAGGAGAGGGGTTTTAGTTCTTTATAACAGAAACTTGGAATTAGAGCAGTCCAAAAACAGAATGGGCTATTTAAATGGATAGTGAATATCCTGTACTGGAGATCTTCTAATAAAAGCTGAGGATGGTATAGGAGTATTATAAGTGGACTCACAATTTTGGGTGTAGTTGTACTACATAATAATAACAACTAGCATTTATGCAAATGCTTACTATGTTCCAAACACCATGTTAAGTGCTTTATACCTCTCTCATTTCATCCTCAACAATCCTGGGAGGAAGGTACTATTATCATTCCCATTTTATAGATGAGGAAACTGAGGCAAACAAGTTAAATGACTTGCCCAGGGTCTCACAGCTAGTAAGTGTCTGAGGCTGGATTTGATCTCAGGTGTTCCTGACTCCAGGCCAAGCATTCTATCTGCTTCACCATGTAGTTGCCTCATATTACATCTAAGGTCCCTTCCAGCTGTATAATTTTGGGATTCTTTGATTTGCTTTAGTTCAGGGTTGGAAAGTTGAAGAAAATCTTCCAAAAGAATCAGAAGCTGTATGAAAAGAGTTAAATATAAGGGGGAAGTTCTGAATAAATATTGTCTCCTTTGTTCATGATTCTAATATGCCTTACCTTAAAGACATTTCAGAATATGGTTATAAGGGAGCAAAAATAGTTTTCTGATTTAAGATGTTCAAAGGCTATGTTTATGTAGATTAGACAAAAGAGAAAATGTATTTTAGATAGCATGTGAAAGATCTTATTCTAAAACTAAAACATACCTGAGCCAGTTACCTTGACTCAAATTTTGTATTTGAGCTTTTCAATAACAAAATATGATTAAACTTAAGTGTGTTATAAAAAGGTGGTGTGTTTTTTAAGATGTTTTCCAGGTTTTATTCATGTAGTGCTAAAAGGGACCATAGTTGGAAGTATGGTGTCCAAAGTGTTCCTGACAGATTCTGGAAATTGATTAATCGCAAATTTTAAAACTTATCAAATTGATTTTATTAACTCTAGGACTTCCCAGAAATCATCCTGAGAGCTACCATTCATATATGTGGAATAACTTCTTTAAGCATATTGACATAGATCCTAATAATGCTCACATCCTTGATGGAAATGCTTCAGATCTACAGGCAGAATGTGATGCATTTGAAAAGAAAATAGAAGAAGCTGGAGGAATTGATCTTTTTGTTGGAGGTATGTAGGACACCTTACCACTAGTAGTGTACTAACATGGAACTCTTTTTTAAAATTTAAAACTGTGTAGTTCAGTCAACACCCATACCTTTTTGCAACAAATATATTCAAGAAATTTACTGTAACCAAAACAACTTAATGAAGATTAGATTCAGAGGTGTGCTAGTAAATGTTTAATAATCAACTCTGGGAAAAAATATGTACGCATGATATACTTTTAAGTTTAATCTGCAGTATTAACATTTTTTTCTATCATCTTAAGTCCAGGTAGTCAACAAAACAATAAAGCAAGCCCTAATTTGTAGTGTTTGTGGATTTCTGTGGTGAAAATGCTCACATACAGAATTTTAACATTTAGCTCTCATCAGCTGGTAAGAGCTGGCTCCAGCACACCACTGATTGTACTGAGTTGTTCACCAGATCCTTCCCAGTCAAATGCTCAATCCTTTTCACCATATACTGCTTCTGATGTAGTTCCCAATACAGTACAAGGCACAAATTAAGGACCCAGTAAACAATAGTTGAATTTAATATGATTCATCTTACAGAAGCTTAAAGGATTTTAATGCTTTACTTTTAATTTCAAAGATTACCAGGAACATAACCTTTGGGGAAAAAGAAGCAAAGATAAATTTGTATTTTACTATTTCCTACTCTTAAAACTTTTGGGAAACTTTATTCATTTTTATGTATAAATGTATATGTGTGATTGTATGTTTCTTTTGAAGGCATTGGTCCAGATGGTCACATCGCTTTCAACGAACCAGGATCCAGTTTAGTATCAAGGACAAGATTAAAGACTCTAGCAATGGATACCATTTTGGCAAATGCTAAATATTTTGATGGAGATCTATCGAAAGTGCCAACTATGGCTCTAACAGTTGGTGTGGGTACGGTGATGGATGCTAGAGAAGTAAGAATTAAAATTTTTTTTTTGGTATTTTTTATATATATATCTATATCTATCTATCTGTCTATCTGTATATGTCTCCTTGGAGTTCTGGTGTTAAGTGACAAATATTTTTGTTTAACCTATGTAACATGTATTTTGTTTTTGAGCTTTTAATAACTGACGTCTCTTAAGAGTCACAAGACCCATTCTTTTAAATTCAACCAAAATAAGTTTTTGGGTTGATAGATTCAAGACTGTTCCTGCTTCTATTTTGAACTAAACTCTTAACTTTACAGTTGTTAGGTGTTTTGAGTAAAATGGTCTTCTTTTTAGAGCCTGTGTTATGCTGACCAATGATTACTGAAATAGGATGCTAATTAGTATTTAGAATCTCAGGATAATAAGATACTTTAGTTCATTCTTTCTGAAAGGTCATTTGTAGTTACAGAGTGATCGTCAGCAGAAAAGGAGGCCAATTTAAACTTTTGTGGATTTCTTCTTTCCCTAATTGTCTCTTTGTTTCCTACCAGTCAAGAGTGAATCTTTTAAATTTGTTTTAAGAAGTCACAATCTTTGAGTAATACAGCATTTTTGATTGGATTGACATCCTCTTTGGCTGATATAGACTAGCCCTTGCTTCATAATTTGTGTCTGAATATGAGGGAATAAAAAAGTATACTTACCTCTCAGTTATTGACAGATCAAATGGAGCCCTAGAACTCTCCTATCATCTAGAAAGGTTACTGGCAATAAAAGTGGCAAGGTAGTGGCAATAAAACTGAGACAACTTCAGTAGTTTTTTAGCTTAGTAGAAAAATAATATGGTATATAATGAGGTAGATTCAAATCAGTGTCAGATTTTCAAAGTTGGCGTTTTCGGCAGTTACACACCTTGCATTCAGTCTATTCTTTGTCATTCTCTGGTTATTTGATACTTCATGATATAGTCCACCAGCCATTATTTTGGCATCACTTCTCTCTTTGTAGTCTTTATAGCCATTACCATTATTCTCTTTCCTCCATCTTTGAATAGCTTGGTCCCTTGTACTTCCCCTATTTCTGAGCTCAGTCTAACTTTGGTTGATATTCATAATCTTCCTTGTAACAGAATACACAGAAGGCATCATGTGATGCTAGGAAAATGGTCCCAAATTGACTTGATCCACTATAAATACATGTGAATCTTCATGGCTCCTCAGCATTCCCTTTATTTATATCTTATTTACTTCCCAAGAGGAAGGGGAAGAATAATCATTTATATAGTGCCTACTATATCAGGTACAAATATCTCATTTGAGCCTTACAACAACCTTGCAAGGTTGGTTCTGTTATCATCCCCAGTTTTGGAGGAAAATGGGGAAACGGAGGCAAGAAGAGGTTAAGTGACTTGCCTAAGGTTACATAGCTAGTAAGGATCTGACACTAAATTTGAACTGAAATCTTCGTGACTCCAGGTTCAGAGCTTTATCCAATGTACCACCTAGCTTCCTCTCCCTACCTTATTCCCCACAGCAAATATTAAAAATGTCTCTTCTCATATTCCCCATTTCTGTCCTCACTCTGTTTTTTCAATAAGTGTTTTAATTTACCTTATTGAGATTTTTTTTTTAGAAAAATCTGATATAGTTATTTTCTTCTTTCCTCTTGCACACTTAAAACTTGCCAGTCATCATCCATCCTTTCCTTCATTTTCTACTTTCAGAGGATAAAGGGATTTTAACTTATTTGCCTAGCAAACCCATCCACTTGTGCCCTTCATCCCATCTATTTCATCTTCTCTAGGATGTTACTTCTTCAGTTATCCCTATTCTTTCTTGCATGTTCATTCTATTACTTCTCAACTTTCTCCTACTTATTTGCCTGCTCAGGTTTCCCTTGTCCTATTAGAATCTTGCCTGACCCTGCTGCTACTCCTTCAGGCTTTCATCATATCTCTGTCCTTCCCTTCATTGCTAAATATGCGAAAGGAGTATTCTATATATTCTCTTGCACCATTGTCTCACCACCCTCAATCCCTTGTAATCTGGCTTTTATGAACAAATGCACAATTAAAAATGTGTTACCCTTAAGAAACGTGAGATTATTCTTCTTGACCTTTTGTAGCATTTTAGGCTGCTGACTCCTTAACCTGTTACCTCCCTCTGTTGACTTCCAGTAACATTCTTCTCTACTGCCTTTTAGAACATTTCACTTAATACCTCTTTTTCCTATACCTTAAATGTGGTCTCTGTCCTGGGCCCTCATCTCTTTTCTCTTTATATTCTTTCCCTTTGGCTGTCTTGTCAATTCTTATAGCTCCCAGATCTATCTTTAATTTTGACATCTTGTTGAGCTCTAGTCTCACATTTCCAACTCTCTGTTGGACATCTTTATCTGGATATATTGTTACCAACTCAAATTCAGTGTGTTAAAAGTGAACATATCAACTCCTTTTCCCAAATTTGCCCCACTTCCTAAATTCCCTGTTTCTCTTCATGACACTACTATCCTTTCTGTCACTTAGGCTTAAAACTTTAGAGTCATCTTTGACATTTCTTGCCTCTCACATCTTAGAAGTTGCCCTGCCTAACTGAGTAATACCTCTCACATTTATCCGGCATTTCTCAGACCCTTCTTATCATCCTGTCAGACTTTTAAAATAGCTTCTTAAGTAATTTCTCTGACTCTATAGTCTCTTTGCTTCATTTCATCCTTTACATTGATGCATGATAATCTTCCTCATGCACAAATCTGTTGTTATCTTGCATTGTGTCCTCTTGGCATACAGGATTAAGTACTGATTTCTGGAACTAGCATTCAAGAGCTTTAACAATCTAGCTTTAGCTGACCTTTCTAGCACTATTTCACATTCTTCCTCTTCTCTTGATCCATTTCTGTTCCGCCATCATCTAACAACAACAATAATAATAACAGCAATAATAATAGCAGCTAGCATTTAATATTGCTTTAGTATTTGCAAAGCACATTATAATCTTTTTTGATCCTTACAACAACCCTGTCAGGTAGATGCTATTATTAGTCTCATTTTAGAAACAAAGAAACTGCAATTGCAGGAGGTTAAAAGATTTGCCCAGAGTCATACAAAGAGTAAATGTCAGTCGCTTTTGAACTCAGATCTCCTTTACTGCAAATCTAGCACTCTATCCTCTTCACCCTTTAACTGCTATACTGATTTTCCTCGAGTTCAGATCAGTCCATTATTCAGTCAACTCCAGTGGCTTCCTATTGACTCTAGTAGCATCTAGAAACCCTTTCTGCATTTTAGGCATAAGGGCATATTCAGAGACAGTGTTGTAAATAAGGAGCAGCAAGAAGGGCAGTGTGGCTGGGATGGTTAAGCGTAGGAAGAAGAAGTACGTACATACTTTGTTTAGGGCCGGGTTGTGAACGGCCTTCAATGCCAAACAGAGGAGTTTATTTTTGGTTTTAGAGTCAATAGAGAACCATTGGAGTTATTGAATAGCCCCTCCCAAAATTACCAAGTTTTTATTTTGTAGATATTCTGTAGATGGTGTTTACATACATGTTGTATTACTGGATAGAATGTTTCTTGAGGTAAAACTGTTCATTTTTATCTGGGTATCTCCAGTGCCTAGCATGTAGTAGTCACTTAATAAATGCTTGTTGATTGATTAGTATATTGTGCATTCTGGCCATAGTAGACTGCTAGACATTCTTCAGTATCATCCTGTGCTTATTTTTGTACACTTGCCATGGATCATTCCATACAACTTGAAATATTCTTCTTTTATACTACCCATTGATGCTTCTCATCCTTTAAAGCCTAGCTAATGTGCTACTTCTCTTCATGAAATCTTCCTTTCTTCCCCTTTAGCTAGAAGAATTCTTTAATCTTATTACTCTTTGAGCAACTCTTCCTATGTATTTCAGAATTCTATCTTGAATCATAGTTATTTGTGTACATATTTTATGCATCTTTTAATCCCTTCTCTTTCACTTTGCAGGTACTTAATAAGTTTTTGTTGAATTGACTTCTCCCCTTGCTTTGAGGTGGCATGGTATAAGAAAAAGAACACTCAACCTGAAATAATAATTTAAAACAACTACAACAAAAAATAAACCAAAAACTTAGGGTCAAGCCCCATCTCTGATCCCTTACTAGCTATACAACTATGGATCATTAATTTAAACTTTGTGAATCTTGTTTTGTATTTAAAATACAGATAATACTGTTTGTGCCAAGGGTTATTGTGGGGAAATGTGTTTAATATAAATCATAAAGTGACAAGTAATCAACAAATTTATGAAGTCCTGTATCTTAAAGATTAATATTCATGATTTGAGAAAAGATTTTAGTGCCTTGATTATGGTTGTCAGTTTATTAAATTTTGGACTGCAACTTTGTCCCTACTTTTAGTTCAGGAAATGTTAATGGGTTTCAAAAGTTCTGTTAACTTCTCAACTCTTATGAATATGATTTTAAAATACACTTGAGGAATTTCATATACATTTTCATTTACTCTTGGACACCAATGATTTTAATTAAGATACAGCATATAATTAAAAATCAACAAGTAATTGTCGTTAATGATAGAAGTATATACAGGACTCTGAATTAAGAATTTGTCAATAGTTCTCCTTTTGACATCAGCTCTGGATCTTTAGCTGTAAAATACATTAACTTATTTATGTTGTCCTAGATCAGTGGTTCTCTTGAGTTTTTGCAGTAGAAAAATCGTTTTCATTAAGCATCTCTTTGGGTAGTCTTTCAATCTGCTACATTTTGACCTTAAAAATTAGAGCATTTGCTTCTTAAATGTGGCATATTTTTGTTTCTAAAACTTCGTTTTGACATAACAAAAGAAGCATTTGGGGACAAAAATGTATAACATAATATACTGTATATACTTCAGAATATCCAGAAGTAAATCTGTATTAGAAGTAGCTATGGTTATATTAATATTTTTTTTTCTTTTTGGGGGGACTTTGTTCTCAAACAGAGTTCTGTCTCATTAACAGAATATTGATTATTTATATTTTTTTGTTATATTGTCTTTTAAAATTTACTGATTTTATTAATCATCACGTGATAGGTTTCTGTGCAGACAAAAATATTTTTAAAACTAAGAATATAAAAGGATACCAGTTTTTAATTTCTACTAGGATAAACTAACAATGAACTGATTATACATCATATGTTATTGCTGTGTTCAAAGATAGATTCTATACCAATCAAAGGACAACTTTTCAGTTATGTGATAAGTTGTTTTAAACATTCTCAGTTACTTTTCCACACTATCTGAATGTGACATTATGCATAACTGACAGACTAGAGAGAGAGTGTTTTATTTTTTGTTTGTTGTTGTATGGCATTGTCTGTCATTACAACTTTTTTTTTATCCCATTCATTATTTCATGGAACCCCATGATTTCCCTAATTAGAATTTGAGAAATTTTTTCATCAGAGTATTGCATCAGAATTTCCTCATCTGTATTTTTTCACATGGTGGCAGTCCAAATATATCTTTGTTCAGCATTTCTATCAAATTGAGATGACAGTGTTGTGTATGTTCATATGTTTAGAATTTTATCATGTTGTATAAAAAGACGCCTCACTTCACAGATTGTGATTAATAAAATGGATTTCTCTCTAAAACATTAGTTCTAACAGCTCTCTACATTAGCACATGCAAAGAGTGAGTGGGACCAGTTGCAGGGTCGTTCTTTTTTATGTCTGGATTTTTCTCCAGCCTCCTGTAGGCATTTTCATGGAGATAATATCTCCTAAAGGCCTTCTTAAGAGTCTCTGTCAATTAATTTTTCTTATTTGAACATTTTGCATTTCTTGATCTTACTTAATTAGTCTGAGATGGCATGTGTACTGGATTAAAAGATTCTTTCTAAATGTCCTTGCCTTTTACGTATCTTTTGTTTTTGTTTTCAAAACAAAAAAGGGTTTTAGATTTCAGTGTCCTAGTGTTCTTCCTCGTAGCCCTATTAAACCTATCCCTGCTTCCCACATTATGCTTATTCATTTACCTCAGACATCTAGGTACAGTTTTGCCACATGTGCAAATTCATTGCTTATCTTTATTCCTTAATCTTGTCATCTTTAAAAATGAATCAACATCAACACAATGACTTATTAATTAAACCTGGCACTAAGTAATTTTCCCTCTTTAAATGTTTTATTATGAATTTAATCAACAAATATTTCCATATAAAAAGAACAAAATAGAGGATTGTGTATGAAACTATGAATTTGTTACATATAATTTTTGTCCCCTTCTGAACTTTTTGGTTTTCTTTTGTGTATTTAAAAATGTTGTGTTGATTTTTTTCAGTCTTGGAATCCTATCATTACTAACTCTTCACCATACCTTCAGATTAAAAGCTACCCCCTTCTTGTTTTATTCAGTTGGTCCACTACTCTTTGTGATCCCATTTGGGATTTTCATGGCAAAGATACTGGAGTGGTTTGCCATTTCCTTCTCTAGTTAATTTTTACAGATGAGCAAACTGAGGTAAACAGAGTTAAGTGAGTTGCCTGAAGTCACCTAGCTAGTACATGTCTAAGGCTGGATCTGAACTCAGATCTTCCTAACTCAAGGCCTAGCCACATAGAGCTCTTCCCTGCTAATGAATTGTAAGAAATTAATATAACTAAACAAAATGAAAAAACATATTGACCATATATGGAAATGCACAGCTCATTTTGTACCCTTCAGAGAGTTGTTTCATCATCCGTCTTCTGAGGTCATGATTTGTCACTTGATCAGTTTTAAAGTCTTTCAAAGTGGTTTTGCTTTAAGTTATTGTAGTTGTTTAAATTGTTCAGCTGGTTCTGCACATTTCACTATGTATAGATTCATATAGGTCTTCCCAGATTTCTCTGAATCTATCATATTCATCATTTACTACAGCACAATAATATATTGTCTGTCAGTCAACAGTCAACTATTACACACCTACTATATTCCAGACACTGTGCTATTAATTGGGTCTCTTAGGTTTATAGTTTTCCTAACATTGAACCAACCCAGTTATTTCTGATATAGCTTAAAATCTAGTCATAGTGGATACTCTTTTGAATATGTCTCTGTAGCCTCTTTTCTGATATTCAGTATTTTATTCATATTCATTAGAGATATTGGTCTATAACCCCATTGCCAAGCCCCCCCAAAAAATTGAGATATTGGTCAATAGCTTTCTTCCTCTTCTTTCCCTCGTTTGGGTATCAAGACCATGTTTGTCTCATGGAAGGAGATGGGTAGAATGCCCTCTTTTTCTAGTTTTGCAGAGTGTGTGTGTCTGTATATGTGTAAACTTTTAGAAGGCCGATGTAACCTCTTACCAATTACCAATATACCATTTAAAATTATAGAGAGTCTTTTGGAATTTAATGTACATTTCACTATTTTCCAGGTAATGATTCTCATAACAGGTGCACATAAAGCATTTGCACTGTACAAGGCAATAGAAGAAGGAGTCAATCATATGTGGACTGTTTCAGCTTTCCAGCAGCATCCTCGAACTATTTTTGTATGTGATGAAGATGCTACCTTAGAATTAAGAGTTAAAACTGTGAAATACTTTAAAGGTGAGCACTGAATTTAAGTTGACTATATATAATTTGTTAATGATTCACTTAAATTATAACATGGCTGTGGAATTAAATCCTTCCCTATATTCCTGAAAACTGGCATTGTGCTGGCACATTGCCTATGTTTTCAAGAAGTAAGAATGTCCAAATTAAAGTAATAGTGGATGCTGAATGAATAGTTTTTCTGTTCTAATTTTGAAAAAGGACAACAGTAGGAGAATGTTTGGTTTGTACTTTTTACTAAGACTTTTTGTTCATGGCTCAGTTTTGCAAGAGTAAAATTATATAGTTTCAGTTATTTTATATCAGTATGGACCTTTTTTTTCTGCTATTGGTCATTTGTTTTTACATTCTAGGGTTCTCACCCATTTTTAAAGCTCATGTCAACTTGAGTTACATTAATTTGAATTCACTGTTACGATAAAAATGTCATTCCTACTTTGAAGCTTTCATAACCAATGCTGTATTTAGTACATCTAAAATTATATTTGATTTTGTTTTGTTTTGTTTTTTTCTTGATATTCACTGCTAGTTTACATGAAAGTAAATGAATTGAGCTAAATAACTTTCAGATTTAACTGGGAACTTTCTTGCAAAGATTTTGTCTCAAGCATAATTCTTTAAAATAAGAAATATCTACATTACTAAATTACAAAGTATTTAGATTTGTACAAATAATTTTTACATGTAAAGAAGGACATAGAAAATGAAGAACACTTTGTAAAAATGATACTTACATTAAAGACTTTAGTACATTTTAAGGGACCGGTTATTTAAAAATTTATAGGGAAAATTTTAAAGTACCTTCAAACTATGAATATTTAAATGAGGACTAAAATTTTGAATGTCATATGAGTGAACTTTTAAGTGCAAACTTCTTTAAGAAGTTTTTATTTTTCCCTGTTGTGCTTTTAACTGCATGAAAATGTAATGTCTATTTTGCTTACTCTTTCTTAAACACTATTTGTCGTAACAGGAATACTGAATTTCTTAATGCATTTCCTTATATTTCTGAGTATAAGGAAAAAAAAGTTCATTTTAAACACAACTTCCTTCATTTCTCTTCTATATTTCATTGATAATAGATAGATCAGTCATAATAAAACATGACATTTATGATAACACTTTTCATTACTTTTGATTCCCTAACTTACTTGATCCTAAGGATATAGAAAAGATCCACTTAGATTTGAATATGTTAAATTTTCATTAATCTTTTTGCCAGCTGCAAATGCATCATTGAGAAATCAAAATCATCACTGTAATTGAAAAAATGTGTGTTTGTTGAATAAGTGAACACTACAGTATTGAGTTCTGAATAAAACGATTTTTGGTCACAATTTTTCCTGACATTTTCCTATTTTTTCCTTTAGTTTTCTTCCTAAATATCATGTGACTTGGAAAAAAATTACAGCAGATTTTTTTCATGATATATTTTTATAGGAATTTGAGCAATGGGTTTTTATATTGATTGGTAGTAAAATACTGTTTTCAACTTTAGCAGGCATTTATTAGCACCTGCTAAGTGCCAAGCATTGTGCTGAGCCCTGGGTATACAAAAACAAAAGCAAAACAGTTCCTGGATTCAAGGATCTTACATCCTATAGGGGAAAAAAGAAAACAACAAGCATTTTTTAAGCATCTACTGTGTGCCAGGCACTGTACTAAGTACTTTACAATTATTACCTCATTTGAGCCTCAGAACAACTCAATGAGCTATGTTATCCCTATTTTACAGTTGAGGAAACTGAGGCATACAGAGGTTTAAGTGACTCACCCAGGGTCACATAACTAGTAAGTATCAGACTTCATTTGAATTCTGAGGTCTTCATGACTCCAGGCTCAGCACTTTATCCACTGTGCCACCTAGCTGCCTTTGGAGGGAAGGATGATTTTTATAGAGAATTAAATAAAAATAACTTTTGGGTGGAGGATACTTCATTTCTTTCACAATACAATAATGCAATAGTAAAGAATGCTACAATTCACCTTAGAGATTTTTTAGTATGAACCGTCATTTTATAAACGAGACCCAGAGATGTCAAGTGATCTGTCAAAATTGGTATGTAGTAAAACAGAGATTAGAAGTAATGTCTTCAGATTACTAATAGCGTTTCTTTTATCACTTTAATACCATACTGCCTCCTCATTTATGATCTTGGGTTTAGTGTGTCAGTTTACTAGTAGCATCTTTCTTTACTGTATCCAGTTGGTCAGTTTATGGAATATCTTTTCTTGAAAAGTACAGTAATTCCAACAATAATTACAGATTAGGAAACTAAGTCCTTGGGGTAGTTAAGTGATTTGCCCAGGGCCATACAGCCAGGCAAGATTCCTTGCTATCCAAGGCAAGATTCAGACCCTTTTCTTCCTGACTTAGAGGGCAGTACTTTATTCACTTACCACACTGCCTGCCTCTCAATTGATCACCATTTTAACTAATAGAGCACTACACCTATTTTTATCTGGGTTTTTGTGTATCTGAATTGTGTCTGATTTTAATCACTCCAGATAGGCAGAGTTGTGATGTATTTTGAAGCTATTTCATTATGTTTGTTGTATCCACTGATTTTTCTAAATGTTTATAAGACTATTTACCATTTTCAGCCTGGGTTAGTAATTTCTAATCTCCTTTCTTGACTAGGAAGCCATCTACAGCATGCTTTTTTCCTTCTTCCTTTAAGAAATGCTAAAAGGAATCTAAATGAGATTTTAATTATTTTGTCTGTTATGGCAAAAACATAGCATGTATCAAAATCATCAATTACTGATTTAAAAATAACCTTTTATCATACACACAGAACACACCAAACTGATATGAAGAATTTAGTTCCCTGTTTCTTGTTGGTTCTCTTAAAGCAATACGTTTTGGGTGTTCTTGGGTTGTATGTATCCTTGTAGGTATTTTTACCTGCCTCAACTCTACTCCTTAGCCAAATGCTATAATAAGAGTTTCCAAAACTCAGGGGGAAAAATGGTTCCAAACCCTTTTTTTAAAATGTTTTGATTCCTTTTTCCTTCAACATTGTCTTTTTTATTTAAAATTATTTATTTTTACAATATTTATATTTAATCATTTCCCTTTCAGTGGCATTGACAGTGAAATAGCATGAATGGTATGGTATTAACAGTCCTCATCTTTTTGAGGAAAAAAAATTTGTAACCTTTTTTCTTCTAGTGCCAGATGCTCCATTATATGCATTATTGCTTACAAAAGAATAGAAAAACATTGAATTTCTTTGGGATTTTAGCAAATCCTTGGTTTATCATCAACTAACTTAAGTTTAAGGTTACTATATTTTAAGAAAAATTTCTCGTAGTTAACCCAGTACTATCTTGCTCATACTTAAGTAACTGTGTCCATTTTCTCCTCCTCCTTTGAAAATCAGTCATAGTCAAAATGGGGTGTTCCCTCCGATTCCCAGTAGTAGTCCTTCCTGGATCTTTTCCAAAAGGGAAGTGATAGCTCATTTCCTTTCACCTCTCCTACCTCTCTGGCTCAGTAGTACCTTTATATGGGAGAACTTCAGTTAAAAGGTTTTCCCAGATACTCCAATCTCCTTGGGAGAATAAAATCAAGAACCTAGTCAGATTCTACATAGTTTTGAAGTATTTTCCTTATAACCTTTTTCTGAACAATATATATTTTCCTGAAAAAACATTCAAATTAAATTTTTGTAAATTAAATCATATTTTGAATTGGAGCTTTATATTTGTGAAGAAATCTTTTACTCAGGGAAGGTTTCTTTTGTGAGCCAAATAATCCGTTAACTTAGTTGCTTCCGATAATCCAAATTTTTATAATCAGATTAATGTTAATAACCAGCTAATATTTGGGGTTTTTTGTTTTTGTGTTTTTACCAGCTAATATTTGTTGAGCAGCTACTTGAGGTCCAGTACTGTGATCTACACTGTGAAAGATTTTCAAGAAACATGACATTATTCCTACCCTCAAGGATATAGATTAGTTGGAAAGAGAAGATTAACATACATGAAAGAATGGAAGGACAGTATATAAATATGTTAAGATACTTTATGAAATAAAAGCACTTGAAACATTAGTAAAGAACTTTGAAATATGTGGTATTAGGAACCCTTAAATTATTTGATACAAAAAATAAGGAACTGATTCTCAGAGAAACTATGCCTTCTCTAGTAACACTTAAGGGGGGCTGAGGTAGCTGGACTAGGTTTTCACTGAGATGGGACTTGAGGAATTTGAGGGATATATAGGTGTTGCATAAATTAAAAAAAAAAATAAAACCAGAAAAAAGGAGTTGGAAATAATTATTTAGAATTGATGCCCTCTGATACAGAATTTATCAGTAGAGCAAAGCCAGATTAATTATACCTTGAAAATGAAGCACTAAAGTTTGAGGTTGAATGAATAGGCAAAGGTAATGCTTTAATTAGCCTTCTTAATGTTGATAGGACAGCTAGGTGGCGCAGTGGATAGAGTGCTAGCCCTGCAGTTAAGAGGACCTGTGTTCAGATTTGTGCTCAGACACTTACCAGTTCTATGACTGTGGGCAATTCATGTAACCCCATTTGTCTCAGTTCCTCTTCTGTAAAATGAACTGGAGAAGGAAATGCAAACCATTCTAGTATCTCTTCCAAGAAAACCCCAAATGGGGTCACAGAGAGTTGGACATAACTGAAAAAAATCAACAGCAACAACAGAGTAATGTCATTAGTGCGAGTTTCCCTCACTGTCTTATAATCTACAAGATTACCATATCAGTACTTCTTTATACTTTGGAGCCAGAGGTAAAACTGAAAACAGATTCCTTTGTCTAATGGGTCCTTATTTCAGTTATATTACTGGTTTCTTTTAGTTTTAAAATAACATTTTCTTTTTTTTAAGTACTCTTAACCATATACTTGAGAGAGGTATCATATGAGAAAAATGAAACTTATGGAGCAAAATTGTCCACATTTAACCAAATTTAAATTCATTCTCAGGGATTTGGGTCAAGACTCAAAAGTATGAGGGGCAC